CCAGCCTAAATTTCCTGGGACTCACATTGCACACGATCAGAGCAGGCATTTAGAAACTACAGAATATTGCACATAATGTCAGTTCAGTGCCTGAGACCATAGGTGATAAAAAATGAAACCTATTATTAGCAGATCTTTTTCTAAACTGTCAAGTCTTTCTCTCTCTGTTTTTCATTCCTCAAATCATTGTTGCTTAAGGAAGTTCCTATAGCATTGAACACGACTGCAGGTGTTTGCTAACTGAAAAACAAAACGATTATTAGCTATTTCCAACACACAGGAAAACACAGAAAATAACATACCGGCACCTGTGTACGTATCCGTTAAGAAAGAGTGCCACCTTGTGTGTTTTAAGACTTTATATACACAGTTATCAGATGGTCTATATTATTTTATAGTTTGCTGCACCCTCCGCAGCACTGTGTTTTGGGGACTTAACCCAAGTTGGTATATACAGCTTTGCTATTTTAAATGCTCTAAAGTCATCAGTTGTAGGTACCCACCATGATAGATCTCTGAATGCTTCCACCGTTGGGAGACTTTGATTGCTTCCAGTCTTTCATTAGTAAAAGAACATTGCAACAGGCATCCTTCTTATACGTGTTTCTTTCAATACTTGTGGGAGACTTTCTCTAGGGTACAACTCTACAGCTCCAGGAGAAAAATCGCCTGGTTCACGAGATCACCCCATTTTCAACCTCACTCACTACTGCCAAGCTATGTTCCAAACCACTACAGCATTGTATTGTTGCAGTTTGTGGGGAGGTGGTGGGTGCGTGGGTGGGTTTGTTTGCTCTTCATTCTTTACTGAGCTGTATCTCATACACCATAAAATCTACCCATGTAAAGTGTACAATTCAGCAGCCTTCGTATATTTGCACAATTTGTGCAACCAACATCACAAGATAATTTCGCATTCATGTTTTCATTTATAATAGAGTGAAGAAATCTGTAAAGATGCTTACCCATCCTGGCCAACATGGCCACAAAATCCCCTGGGAGGAGCTAGTTGGTGGAGATTTCCTTGTTTTAAACCTGCTGTCTGAGGAGGTAGCTGGCAAGAACTTTCCTAATTAGATTATGCAAAAGGAAAAAAAAAAGAAGAAACCACCTCGTTAAATGCAGGTTCCTGTTACTTGCTAAAAAAAGCATTCCTATTTATTCACCTCGAGTAAAGTGACTCAGAGCTAACTCTATTTGAAGACAAGGAGAGGAGACTCCAAATGAAGGCGTTATTCACCACCCCCCACCCGCCCCCCCCAACAATTCTTGCTCATGCCAGAAAGGGAAGGAGGTGTGAACGGAGTATGGATGTTGGAGTAAACAGTTGTGAAAGCCAGTTCACTGGCAAAGGGAGCATCTCTCTTATTTCTCCCCACAGCTTCACTTGTTGGGCTTTGGATCAAGTAATTTTTAGGGCTCTGAGTTACTCATTAATGGCACGTTCAAGTAAGTACCCTTTACTCCAACTCTTTAACTTCATGTATTAATGTGGATCGCCAATTAGGACTTAGACTACACATTTAAGAATATTGTTCTTGGGGTGCCTCAGTGGCTCAGTGTGTTAAAGCCTCTTGCCTTCGGCTCAGGTCATGATTCCAGGGTCCTGGGATGGAGCCTCACTCACATCAGGCTTCTGCTCAGCCGGGAGCCTGCTTTCTCTTCTCTCTCTGCCTCTCTGCCTACTTGTAATCTCTGTTTGTCAAATAAATAAATATTAAAAAAAAAAAAGAATATTGTTCTTAGGCAGCTGTGGAAAGTTCAAAAATCGAAAGCATCTCTCCACTCGGAGGCAACTCTCAAGAAACCTCGGGTTCAAGGACAACGTCCATTCTCTTCTGCTAGTTCATTCCTGTCTGTCCCTGGCTTAAGGAAGTCCATTTTCAGAGGCTCTGGTTTCACTCTGTCAAGGGTGTGGCAGCTTTCTGAAATTTCCTGCTTGCCCTTTGGACCTTCCTGCAAGTACAGCAGGAGAGTCACGTAACTGGGACGTTCTGGACAGCCCAGCAGCAGGTGGCAGGCCAGGCTACATGCAGGAGGAGACGCAGGGATACAGGGACCCGCTGCCGGGGGGCCGCTGTGGCCGTGGCTTCTCCCACGCCCTACCTGGGCCAGCCCCACCCCAGTAGTGGCCCCACAGACTTTACCTGAAGTCGGAAGGAGCTGGACTCCACTGTGAATTGCGACTTGGGGTTTCTGGACCTGCACCGAGCCAATGTCCCCACAGTGGCCGTTTATGCTGAACCACCGTATGTCCTCGGCAGCTCCGGGTCCCAGGTCAGACTTGTCTGTGATGAGTCTGTGAAAATCACTGCAGTGTCCTGTGCGGAGGGAGGTGGTGTGGCAAAATCACCAATCGCATGAGAATTTAGTCTTTACTATTGGGGGATTAAGTGACTCGGCGTTTTCAGACTTTGTCACAGTGCCCACCGTCAGCAGCCAGCTTCAGTCCTCTCGGAAGTGGTCCTAAGTCCTGTTAACTAGTTGGATGGATCCCTTGCCAATGCACAGAGGCCGGGGGCCCTTGGGAGAGGTCAGGAAGGTGCCCCCCCACACCCCAAAGCTCTGTACAAATGAAGGACTCAAGAGGGGAACAGCTCTGACCCGAACGGCAAGGCACTGAGGCCAGCCAGCAGCCTTGAGCTCAGGGTAGAAATCCCTGGGCAGGGCAGGAAGGAGCAAAGCAGAGGACTGTGTCATTTGCTCACCACCCTATCCACCCACCCCGAGGGAGAAGAGTCTAAGCTTCACCCAGCCAGTACTCCCAAAGGAGGCAAAACTGGAGTTCCTGAGTCCCAGAAGGGAGCTGGAGGTGAGTGGGTGACCCACCTCAAATTCAAATGTATAGGAAATGGTGGGTATTCATCCTTTCTGATGGCTGAGTCAGATCCCATTGTTTGCATCAACATGGATGGAACTGGAGGGGATTATGCTCAGTGGAGTCAAGCAGAGAAAACACAATTATCATATGGTTTCACTTATCTGTGGGACATAAGGAACAGCATGGAGGACAAAAGGAAGGAAGGAAAAAATGAAGGAGGGGGGAATCAGAAGGGGAGATGAACTGTGAGAGACTGTGGACTCCGGGAAACAGACTGAGGGTTTCAGAGGGGAGGGTTGTGGGGGAAAGGGTTAGCCCAGTGATGGGCATTAGGGAGGGCACAGATTGCATGGAGCACTGGGTGTTCTATGCAAACAATGACTCATGGAACACTGCATTAAACATTGATGACAGACTGTATGGTGACTAACATAATAATACTAATAATAATAAAGTGTATAGGAAACGTATCCACCTCTTCTGAGTGTTAGAAGCAACAGAACACAGGGTAGGAGGTGTGCCCTGGGTCCTTGCCCTGAACTGGCTTCCGGGCTGGCATTCCCAGACCCCGCTTTGCTGCTCTTGGAGCAGATGGCCCTACTCCTCCCACCTGCTACGGTCATGGGGCCCCCCCACTCTGGCCTCCTGCCAGGCACCAGCCTGTCCACAGGCTCGACCACCATCGATAGCTCACACACTCCTGCCTTCTGGGGCTCCTCAGGGTTTGGGATGGGATCTGTAGTGCATGTTGTGGAGACAAGGCTGGTTTTCTTTCTTTACAATCTGCTCCCTAAGAGTTCCCAGGGTTCCAGAAGTAGGGTTGCAGGCAATCCTATTTGCCCTCTCCCTGCCCCCCCCATCTTACTGCAGTAGCATGGCTGAGCGGGAGGTCCCTCCCCTGCACCCCATGTGCTTTATTTCATTCAATCCTCAAAATAATCCCACCAGCCAGGGATTCTTAGCTCTGTTTTTGGATGAGGACACGGAGACCCAGGAAGGTGAGGGGTCTCGCTTAAGATCACAATCTATCGAGGGCAAGGGTGGGGGTCTGAGTCCACAGCAGTGGTGTTTCAGGGGGTGGGTGAGGGGTCCACCGGGTGCAGGTACAGAAATAAGTGTTAAAAAATAAAAAAACTCTTAAAAAATTAATTAATTAAATTAATTAAAACACCAGGATGCCAGGGTGGTGTAGTCCATTAAGCATCTGACTCTTCGTTTCGGCTCAGGCTGTGATCTTCGGGTTGCTCCGCGCTGGGCATGGAGCCCACCTGAGATTCTCTCTCTCCCTGTGCCTCTGTCCCTCCCCCCTACCCTCTCACTCTCTCCTTCTGTAAAACCAATCAATAAATTTTTTAAAAAATAGTAAAACCAGCTAGAAGTCAGATGGCTTTTTATCATCACCCCATGTAATTTTCAATAATGCAGTGAGGACACATGGGTCCTTGCTTGGGTGAACCGGTCGTTTCCTCTCATGAGACTGAGGCTCCCCCAGCTTTATCAATGGGGCCTAACGCCAGAACAGCCAGGGTTCAATTCTGAGGAGGCTCAGCCGGGTCACTGACAACGGCAGGACCAGAGGATAAGAAGAACCTGGGTTATTTTTATTTATTACTGTGGTAAAATACACATAAAAGTCACCATTTTAAGCATATAGTTCAGTGGCAGTAAGTACATTCCAAACGTCGTACAACTCATTTCCAGAACCTTTTCATCACCCCAAATAAAAGCTCTGTACCCATTAGGCATGACTCCCTATTCTTCCTTCCCTCCAACCCCCAGTCACCTCTGTTCTTCCTATCGCTATGAATTTGCCTGCCCTGAGCACCTCATAGGGCAGAATCATATAAATAGTATTTGTGTTTCGTGTTTGTGCCTGTTTTTTCTTTTTCCCCACTTCACATGTTTTCAAGTTCATCTAACGTTGGAGCATGTATCAGAATTTTATTTCTTTTTAAGGTAGAATACTATTCGGTTGTTTATAAACTTAGGGTTTTTAATTTTTCTGAAGATTTTATTTATTTACCTGACAGAGAGTGAGAGATGGTGTGCACAAGCAGGGAGCAGCAGGCAGAGGGAGAAGCAGGCTCCTGGGCTGAGCAGGGAGCCTGGTGCAGGACTCAGTCCCAGGACCCTGAGATTGTGACCTGAGCCGAAATCAAGAGTTGGATGCTTAACCAACCTAGCCACCCAGGCACCCAAGAACCTGGGTTTTTAAGGACACCTCGGAGACACCATACCTTAGGGGACCTCTTGTTAAGTTAGAGACCCTTACCTTAATGGTGTAGGTCATGTGGCATTGGGTTTTCTGTCTCCTACAGCTGGAAGAATCCCAACTGACCTGTTAGGCACAACTCAGGTTCTTCTGTGAGGTTCCAGGGTGGGCAGTGAGGCCCAGAGGGTCCTCCCCATGGACACCCTTCAATGTGTGGCAGAATGTTAGAGAACTTCCTTGTGTGTGCGTGTGTGTGTATGAATCTCATCTACACGGATGTGTACACACACACAAACACACAACTAAGGCCACACCTTGCCTTCTTGTCATCCTCGGTTTAGTTATTTGGTAATTCTTTCTAAGGCAGTTAATTTCAACATGCATCGTTATTCAGGACTTCACGTTTTTCTTCATCACAAAAAATATATTTCACTCCAGATTGAAGGAGGCGCTGTGCCTGGTACTCTAGGGACGAGTACAGACGAATGCCATTTTTTCAAAATACTTTCCCACGATCTTCCCTGGAGTTGGAAATAATCAAGGGTAGTCAAGGGCAATGAATAAAAACATTTATTTAAAAAACACCATCGAGGGCCCATTTCAGCAGCACATATATTAAAAAAACCACCCAGCGCCCATAGCTCCCACTTTGGTAATAAGCAGAAAGGGTGGGTTAATGCTGTTTTACTGTATGAAATTGGAGACAGACCACAGGGGGGGGGAAAAGAACACCATTAAAACTGAGAAAGAAAAGTAAGTAGTAAGCGACTATGACAGAAAGGGACTTTAAGAAAATGTCCCTGCACGACGAAATCGATCTCTTCTTCAAGGAGTACTAGTGAAGGAGGAGGTTTAACTTACTTGCAGGATTACGGGAAAAGTTCCTCATGGAACATTTGGTGATGGCTATGGAGAGGTGGATGGAGAAAGATGTGAGCAGACCCCAGCGCCAGGAGGAGACACGCAGAAGTGAGGATAAGGAGAAAGAAATATTAGGCAGACCGTCTTCGCTCAACTGTCCCTACAAAAAAATGTATTTTAAAAGAATCTGAGGAGGCAAGTATTGTAATTCTCTTGGTACTATTAAAGTGTAACAGATAGCATCAGAAATCAATTATGCTGTAAACACATTAGCGTTTCCTTTCATTGGGAGCTGATCTCACGCCTCCTGAAACTTATTACACATCACACTACAAAATTATTATTATTATTATTATTTGCTTGTTCCCTTTTCTGGTTCCTACTTGTTCACATTCTGAGAGAGGACAAAGGCCCTTTAGAGCTCCATCAATTCAAGCCTTTCATTTCACAGATAAAGGAGGGGAAGGTCACATTCAGCCTTGGAGGCAGAGACTAGACTGGAACCAGGTCTCCTGGTCCCCCAGTGGGCGCTTTCCTAGTTACCTGGTGTGACTCCCGCCCCATCCCATCTCCCATCCATACCTGATGGCTCTCCTTCAGCCACAGGTGGCGCAGGAGAGCAGGAGGGGAAGCAACAGGGCTTTGTGGGCCTGTGTGGTGTGCTGGGAGTGTGGGACACAGAAGAGGAGGCCACAGAATGCGTCTCCTGCTTCCATCCTGAGTCTAGGAATAACCAACAGCATACATGCACACGGTCAGGCTACTCTGATCACCGAGCTGAGGAACACTTCCTGGTAGGGCACTGGGAGTGAGAGGAATTTCTCAAGGCTGTCCTAAGAGAGACGAAGGAGAACTCAGTCAGGGACACAGAACTGTTCAGAAGCCCCACACATAAAGCCCTAGTTACGGATAACATCACAAGAGCTTGAGGCTCCAGGGGACCTCACAACATGGCTCCCCGGCGTCCCTAACAACAACGCCAGCAAATGGGTGGCTAGTCAGGGCTAGGCACTGTCTCCAAATCCCCCAAGTCCAGCAGAAAGAACACAGTTGGCTGGATTCTTGTAAAACACCCCACCGTTCTCGCATCAGCTTTTTGTTTCGCAAGTATCACTACTCAACGTTCTGAATGTTCTCATCGGGCTCTCTGTATTTCTGGGCGATGATACCAGTCACCCTGGCTGCGACATTTCTGTCTGGGGCCTCCTCAGGAAGGGTGGTCAGATCTCCCGGGGACCTTCTCTCCTGCACATCCTTTGCGAACAAAATGAAAGCATCATTGTATCTGTACAACGTCTCCCACAGAAGTCTATGTTCAAGGACAGATACCAGGGCTATGAACTAAGGCTATCCTTTGTGATATGCGTGGACCAGGAAAACCGTGAGAGGAATGTTCTCGAAGCTTGGACAGTCTCAAGTTTATCCAAGGCATCAAAGAGCACCTCCAAAGTCTATACAATGTCCTGCAGAAACGTCTCGTGCTTGAGCTCCTGTGTTTCTGTAAAATTCTGCCAACCTCTTGCCAGAAATGTGCTTTCTCATGTAGAGATGAGGGGTCGGCTTTCCCAGACGAGAGCCAGCCGCGTGCTGGAGGCTCTGTCTCAGGCAAGGACCTGCCTGCGGAGGCTACTTCGGGTGTCCTTCCACAGAGACTGCTGGATCTGATACACGGACTCCTGAAAGATTCTCTCAACTTGGGTGGGGAAGCCACGGCTGTCCTCTTCCAGGGCGTTGATGGTCCGCAGAGCGAAGGGGGTCCTCTCGCGGGGCAGGGGGTTGTGGAGAGGCCGCATGGGGATGACCGAGTTGTACTTGTGCTGCCTGTTCACTGAGTTCATGAGCGACGTGTAGAACTGGAACTTGCACCAGGTGTCTCTTAGGAAGTTCTCGGTCAGCAGCAGGATGGTCCACGCGGACCCATTCACGGCGTCGTCCAAGTTCTGTAGATGCTGCCGGCCGGAGGGCATCTCGGCAAAGATGATTCCGGGCTTGATGCCGAAGTCATTCTGCAGCAGGTTCTGGACCCTGAGGGCTTCATCTGTGTCGTCCTCCGCGTGCAGGATCACGAACTTGAGGAACACCTCCTCCTCCACCTCCTCCTCCTCCTCTTCCCCCTCCAACATGTCTCCCTGGCCCTCAGCCCCCTCATGTTCCCCAGCAGGCACCGGGGCCGGGGTCGTGGGGCTTGGCTCAGCCAGATCGTGCATGGGGTGGTCGTCCGGTTTCTTGGAAGCTGACTCCTGGAGTCCCTGACTCTTTTCCACCCCGGGGCTTTTCCCCAAGGAGAGAGAGAGAGGGCAGGGGTCTATTTTAGACTTCCCGACACCCATCATCAATATCCAAGGGAGAGGAGGACAGCTTCACTTCTTTCTTAACATTTCTTTTCATTCTACAAGGAGAAGAAATAACACAGCAGACGAATGTTGTAAATGTCATCCAAACGTTACAAACGGAAAAAAAAATTTTTTTTCACTCAACCTAAAAGCCTCCAAGAGACTGTAACATAGAGGTCCTAAGAAAAAAATGCAGATCGGATCTTGGGGTAAGATCACCCTCCATGAGTTTCACGAGGATGACTGCGGATGGTCAAGGGGGAGTGGAACAGGGAGTCAGTGTAACGCTAACAGGAGACATTTGGAAGTCTGACATGGAATTAGAAACCTCCAGAACAAAGTCAACTGCCTTGGTATTTGAGGGAGACGAGTCGGTCCCATGCCAGTCTGTCCATATGGAGTTTAAATCCAACTTCTTCATTATCGAGTTATTGTGTAAACTAGAAACAGAAAAGTTGAGAGCAACAGAACACTCAAATAGTAAATAGACAACTCATTTTCATATCAAACACAATTACAAAACAGGACACAAATAAGATGACCAGCTGGCATCGTGACTAAGTCAGCACAAAGAGAAGATCTGAAACGTCAAACGAAATGACGTGCGGGGTTCACGGCCTTGGAGCTCTTCTCCCTGGCTGGGGTCAGGCACTGGTGTCGGGGCTGGTGAAGCAAAACCTTTTCTAGCTAATCCTGGGAATGGTTCAAAAGACTGAGTATTTACCTCGGGAAAAATTCACTTCTGGGTTCGGGAGTGACTCTGGAAACAAAGGCTAGGGATCTCCTCCAGTGAAATCAACAGAGAATCATTAATGTCTATCCTCATTCCATTATTTTATTTCGTTTATTTATTTATTTTTGTAACAGAGAAAGAGAGAGAGCGCACACGTGAGGAAGAGGGAGAGACTACCAGGCAGGCTCCACACTGACCAGGGCTCGATCTCACAAACCCCCAATTATGACCTGAACTGGAATCAAGATTCTGATGCTTAACTGACTGAGTCACCCAGATGCCCCTCCTTCTATTACTTTTAAAAATTTGGAAGTCAGAGTGGAAGAATTAGATCAGCTGCGAGAGAAAAGTGCTTCACGTGAACCCAGTTTAAACAAATCTTCAGATAATGTTGGCAACGTTATTAACAGAACCCCCAAACAGGCAGTTTCAAAAAGGATTCTTTTATCCAAAGATAGAAAATTCAGAATAGATAAATACGGGTTTCCTATTTCCAAAAAAAGGGGAGGGGGCTTTATTCCAGAGCTTTTAAATTTATTGTTCCTGAACAAAGACTAGAGTTCAAGTCAAGAATTTAATTAGGCTTGGGATCATAACGGCATCGATAACACAAGCTTACGAGTACCAAAATAATTCAAGGTTAAAGAAAACCGCTCAGCAAAAATGGTGAAGAACTGTTACGGGGAGAAAAGATGAGGAAAAACAGAACATTTCCTTCTAACGTACCTAGGGAGAGAAAGGGTTTGCTGCTGCTCTGAACAGTGAAGTGACTGCTGGCTACCCCGATGAATGTATTATGTCTGTACTTGAGGTTCTACTCCACAGCCAAAGCTGGTGCAGAAGCTGTTGTGACAGCTTCTGAGAGATACCTGAAGGCATAATTCTAAAATGCTAATACATACATCCCCAATGGCAAAACTGACTGAATTTGGAGACTCTTCACTGGTTAGGATTCACTGCTGACTCCGTTGTGTCACGAAAGAAAGGTGTCACTCTGCAAAGCCGCAGAGAGAAGCTTCTCCTGTATTAAAAAAGTAAAAAATCGTTGAGCGATGTAAAGAATCGTTGAATCGCTATATTGTACTAACTAACACAACACTGTGTGTTAACTACGTCACAATTTCAAAAGAATTGTTAAAGCGTTCAGAAGCATTTACGGTGTGAATTTAAATGATCTTCACTTATGCACTGAGATTAGTTTGTTAAACCAACTTAACACCATGACCTTCCTCGCTAGCCACTACAGGTCAGTACACTCGAAGTAAGACAACAGCTCTTCATAAAAAGTGTCCCAAACTACTGGGGTAAAATGATGTGTCAAGCCAGGCTCAACGAAATCTCTTGACGTGAACAAAAATAAATAACAAAAGGAAAGAACTGCAACTTTAGGTCTCATTTTTCTTTCTTTTTTTCCTTAAAGATTTTACTTATTTATTCAACAGACAGAGATCCCAAGTAGGCAGAGAGGCAGGCAGAGAGAGAGGGCAAGCAGGCTCCCTGAGGAGCAGAGAGCCCGATGCGGGGCTCGATCCCACGACCCTGGGATCATGACCTGAGCCGAAGGCAGAGGCTTTAACCCACTGAGACACCCAGGCGCCCCTAGGTCTCATTTTTCTTAAACACTGATCAAAAACAAAGCAAAAGCCTCCAGAAATCTTTGACAGTGCTGTTCCAGGCCCCTCCTGAGCCCTCCTACCCAGCCCAGAGAGAAGAGAGTGCGTGACAACATCTGGAAAACTTCACTACCACCTTCCATGTGGAGGGGAAGAGCAAGGAGCCGGCCTAGGGGAAGACATGTGGAAAGCTGTGAGGTGGAGGGCAGCCTCTGCTGGCACCATGGTGGTTCCTAGATGGGCAAATGGTCCCCATCCTGGACTGTGGTGCTCAACGCTGGAAGGATGGGAGAGAACAGGATTGTGCTCCCACCAAGCCACTGACTCTCTCTACCAGAGGGCTTTCCCACAGTGCAAGGCAGGCATGGAGGGCTGATGGAAGGAGCCTGGGAAGCCTCTGGAAGGTCCCCTCCCCATCAGGGACAGGCAAATGTGGGTGAAAACATTTCTGTGAAATGGAAGGAGTATGAAGGTGGCTGCTGAGGAGCGGCACACAAAATCACTAGTCACGGAATGAAGACATCTGTGTATATATATGTATTTTCATTTACTTTTTAAGAAAAGGTAGTGGCTAAAATACCTAATGACTTTGAAAATGTTCACAGGGAAAAATCTCCTTTCCCCATCCCACCTGTTATCTTCACAGCCTCCTACCGGCGACCACTTCAATTAGTTCCTTCAACATCCTTCCACTGTTTCTTTATGAATATATGTATTTTTCTTTTCTTTTCATAAAAAATATCACTGATATATATGTATAAAAAACACACACACACTGCAAAACAGGAGACAGAGATACACTGCTTTTCCCTTTAAGACTAGAACCTCAGGAGGACCTGGGTGGCTCAGTGGGTTAAGCCTCTACCTTTGGCTCAGGTCACGGTCTCAGGGTCTTGGGATCAAGCCCTGCATCCGGCTCTCTGCTCAGTGGGGAGCCTGCCCCACCCCCACCTGCCTCTTTGCCTACTTGTGATCTCTCTCTGTCAAATAAATAAATAAAACCTTTAAAAAAAAAAAAGACTAGAACCTCAGAGCTTTCCATGGCAGCAATGACTTTTTTTTTACAACACAATCTTGCAGCACGTGGTTGTACCATAATTGTCCCCTGTTCTCAGATATGTGAGCTGTTCCCAGTAAGCTACTAGGACGAACAACGCTGCAGAGAACAGTTTTGTATAAAAGTCATTCCATTGATGTGCAGCTTCATCTGCAGAATAATTTCCCCAGATGGGATTTCCACATCAAAGGACAAGTGCATTTGCAATAATGAGATATTAGGCCAAATTACTCTCTGAAAGACTGAAACTTGTGTGTGTGTGTGCGCGCTTTTAACTTGATAGAATGACATCCTTACCTCTACCCCTCGTCCCAGAAAAGATCTAAGACCGAAGCTACTGATCACCGCTACAGACAACAGCCCCACTGAGCCAATGACATCCTCTCAGGGCAACGATCCCATGGAAAAACTCAACCCAAGAGAGTGGAGCTCTTGAGCTGAAGTTCTCAAGGGAAGATCAGCAGGTCTTAGATAAGGAAGGAAGCAGAGTCCAGAATGTACCCACCTCATATCTAGCCCAAGAGGGTCCCAATAGGATCCCCCACATTAAATAGGAGTAAGGTGAAAAGAAGACTGACAACTGTGCATTCTTGGCAGGTAGCCACACAGACTACAGGAAATGAAAACGAATATTAAGAATAGCTTGCAAACGCCAAAAATACTCTATTTTCACGAAGACTATGGAGGGCGCCAGGGGGGCTCAATTGGTTAAGCAGCCAGCTCTTGGTTTCAGCTCAAGTCATGATCTCAAGGTGGTAGGATGGAGCCCCACCTTGGGCTCTGCACTCAGCAGAGATCCTCTCTCTCTGGGTGCCTGGGTGGCTCAGTTGGTTAAGCATCAGCTCAGGTCATGGTCCCAGGTTCCTGGGATCAAGTCCTGCATCTGGCTCCCTGCTCAGTGGGGAACCTGCTCTCCCCTCTCCCACTCCCCCGCTTGTGTTCCCGCTCTCGCCTTTTCTCTCTGTTAAATATAAAAAAAAAGAAGAAGAAGAAGAAGAAGATTCTCTTTCTCTCCTTGGGCTCATGTATGCACCTGCTCTCTCTCTCAATAACCTTCAAAAAAAAAAAAAAGGACTATGTGCTCTGGAATCTGACTGCCTGAATGTAAATCCCAGTGCCCTGCTCTAAAACTACTGTGTGACTTAGTCCAAGTTACGTGGCATTTTTGTGCCTTAGTTTCACCACGTATAAAGCGGTGACAATTCCGGTGCCTTGAAGGTTTTTATGAAGATCAAAATGGCCGAGAACCGTTCTCATACATGTTGGCAGCCGTTATGGTTATTAGAGACATAACAAGGGAGATAAGGAAAAATTTACACCAACAGTGTGTAGGCTCTAGGACGGGATGGCTCCAAGTGCTGTCTGGGGACAACGGCCAGTCTCTGGATGGTCTGGAGCCAGCCCGGGACAAAAAGCAGGAGACTGTGCCAGGATATAAATCAACCAGGTAAGTGCTTTTCAGTTCAGCTAACATTCTTCTCAGAGCAAGACATTCTTTCTTTTCTTCCCCTCCCTCTTTCCCTTCTTTCCTTCCTTTTTTCTAAGATTTTTATTTTTAAGTAATCTCCACACCCAACATGGGGTTTGAACTCATGACCCTGAGATCAAGGGTTGCACGCTCGTTCGACCAAGTCAGCCAGGCATCCCTGCAGGACATTTTTGATGAAGGAAGTCACACAGTTTCCCTTTGGTGCACCCTTCTTGTATTATCACAGACAATCACTCTAAGGGATGAAGTCCTCAGACACCCTAAAGAGACTGTAACCAAAGAAACAGAAATAAAAGCGGGGAGAACAGAATCACATGAAGAGAGAGACTATAGATGAATCGAGGGTCCAACACCCTTAGGAAAGAACAGAGAAGGCAACGAACGGAATAAACATGATAAAGCCATAACAGCAGAATATGGTGGAAAGGCTTGGAAAAAATCAGAGAATATAAAATGACAGTAAAGTCATTTAAAAAAAAAAAAAAAAGCTATGGAGATTGGGAGGGAAAAAAAAAGCAGAGTAAAAACCAATGCTTCGGGGCACCTGGGTGGCTCAGTGGGTTAAGCCTCTGCCTTCAGCTCAGCTCATGATCTCAGGGTCCTGGGATGGAGCCCCGCATTGGGCTCTCTGCTCACCGGGGAGCCTGCTTCCCCCTCTCTCTCTGCCTGCCTCTCTGCCTACTTGTGATCTCTGTCAAATAAAAAAAAACCAATGCATCTGAAATAGAAAATCCGATGAACGTAACACAAAATTCCAAGATAGAACAGATTCGCCGCCCTCCATCAAATGCTCAGCCTCACTGATCACAACCAGACAGTGTGTGCCTTTTCTGATGCCATTCGCCAGCCAGCAAAACGTATGACGCAGTCTTGCCAAAAATGTTTAGCCTGACTCTGACCAAGTCTTTAGACACAATTACCAGTTTACAGAAATGAGGAGGACATGTGAAACGTCCACCAAGAGGGGAAGGGAGAAACAAACTGTGTGATGTCCAGACCGTGGAAGGCCTTGCTTGGCAACACGAAGGAGAGATAAACGATAAACGCCCTGACGTGGGTAAGTCCCAAACTCATTATGGTGTATGAAGGAGGCCAGACCGGAAAAAAAAAAAAAAAAAAAAAAAGATTTTGATTCCATTTATATCCAGATCCAGAAAATGCAAATCGATCTACAGGGACTGAGAGCATTCCTTCAGACCTGTCAGAAGGGAGCTTGATCACCCCTCTTCTGCATAGTGTTTCCTCCTTGTCTACATGGCATCCTTTTTTTTTTTTTTTAAAGATTTTGTTTATTTGACAAACAGGGACCACAAGCAGGAGGAGTGGGAGAGGGAGAAGCAGGCTTCCCGCTGAGAAGGGAGCCTGATGCTCAATCCCAGGAACCCAGGCCGAAGGCAGACGCTTAATGACTAAGCCACCTAGGCGTCCCTAAATAAATTTTTTTTTTTTTTTTTTTTAAAGATGGCTGTTTGCTATAGAGAAAGAGCTAGTGGAGAGGGGCAGTTCAGCGATGCTGGAAAGACAAGGACTGCTGGAGGGATGGCTTGTATAGGGAAGCGGGGGGATCCGGTGGGCCAACAGAGGGGTCTGCCTTTGTTGGGGAGAAAAGTGACCATTTTCCCCAGTGAAAATGAGAGAGGGCGGAAGAAACAGATACAGGTACAGGTACAGATGGGTACGGCGGGGGACACCCACGTTCGTTCCCTTCTGACTGCTTCAACAGTCTCAGTAAAATAGGAAGCCAAACCACTTCCTAAGGACTGTCCCAAACCTCTACCTCGTTTTGGTTTTTTCTTTTTTTAATTAGCATGATGAAGCTATATAGCCCTTTAACCGCACAATTTCTTTCTTTTTTTAAAAGATTTTATTTATTTATTTGACAGATAGAAACCACAAGTAGGCAGAGAGGCAGGCAGAGAGAGGGGAAGGGAAGCAGGCTCCCCGCTGAGCAGAGAGCCCAATGCGGAGCTCCATCCCAGGACCCTGAGATCATGACCTGAGCCGAAGGCAAAGGCTTTAACCCACTGAGCCACCCAGGCTCCGCATCATTTTGAAACATGAACAGTACAGGATGGAACCAGTTAAGGGGAAATGGCTGTGTCCCCAAGGCTATCATCCTTTCTGGGCCCCAGGGCGGGTAGGAACCCCAGCAGAGGACTTCCAGGCAGGAGGAGAGCTCCGGGCATCAGCCAGGGACGCCCCTCCCAGGACAGCCTCTCTTCCTCAGAAACCGCCCAAGGGTTCCTCGAGGGCACCTACTGCCATCAGATCTCTCGACCCTATCCCTGGCTAAACGCAAACAGCACGGCGAACTTTCCTTTCATGCTCAGCTGACTTCTCTCACCTGGCCTTTGGTGAGGGTTAATTTTCTGCGCTGGGGCCCGGCTGTAGTTCAAACAGCAGTCCGGATGCCGCGGTGAAGGTATTTTTTAGATGGGCTTACCAGGTAGAGGGGTGTCCTGGGAGTCAAGCCGATTACCCCCCGGACTGCGGGTGGTGACAACCTTCAGAGCAATACAGCTGGTCCGCAATTTATGATGGTTTCACTGACAATGTTTCGAATTCACCGCGCGCAGAAGTGATACACACTCAGTAGAAAGCATACTCGGAACTGAGAACCCTCCTCAAGAGTGTGCTGCCCCAGGGTGAGGAGTTCACGTGTGCATTTTTGAAACACTGTGACCACGTGGGAAGAGAGGCTCCCAACAGCAGTGAGAGAAAGAAGGAACCATTATCATCTGACGATAAAATGCATGCACTCATACAATTCTGTCTGTTCGCGTATCTACCCCAGAAAAAGCTTACTGCGGAACTCACTGCCTCTGACACAAGGTTATTTCAGACGAAGGCAGCCAGAGCTTGAACCCTCCAGCCAGCGAGAGCCGCCTTCTTTCCCATTTGAACAGCACCATCTGGTGGCGAAAGCACGTAACATCAGTGGTTCCTTGTTCAATTAGGAAGTCGTTAGCAGGAAGTGTGGTGGGAAACCTACTCTGCATCAAGACCTCTGGGTTTCAGGGATGTGAAGCCAGGCTAAGGCGACAGTCACCGCGCTGGTGCTCCATCCAGGACAGGGGGCACTGCAGAAGCGCTCAGGAGGGATCCCTGCAGCAGAGGAAACTTGCGTAAGGCCGAGGGAGGTGGACGCTTTCGGGGCGGGAGGGGCAGCAACTGCAAAACCACTGGGGCGCCACAGAGTGAAGTGCTCTTGGGATTGGTCCCTGCTGGGTGCTTCTAAGGCTCAGGTATGTGGGGTTGGGAAGAGGGAAGGTACCAGTGAGATGTAAGGATGGAGCTAAACAGGATTAGTGAGTGAGGGGCCTGACATATTCTGTTGAGGACTCTTGTGGGTTTGTTTTGTTTTTTTTTTTAAGATTTTATTTATTTGAGAGAGAGAACATGAGCAGAGCAGAGGGGCAGGGGAAGATGGAGCAGGCTCCCGGCTAGTGCAGAGCCTCATGTGGGGCTCGATCCTAGGACACTGGGATCATGACCTGAGCGGAAGACAGACACTTAACCGACTGAGCCATCCAGGCACCCAAAGACTTTGAATGTGATCACACTGGCAGACAGAGAGTCCCTGGCAGGTGGTGAGCAAGAGAGACATGGTCTGACTTGTCCAGGATGGCCTCACATCACGCAGGGCAGGAAACCAGGCTGCGCTGTATGGAGCTCTGCTCTGGGAGAGCCTCCTGCTGAGAGGCTGTGGCAGGAACCCAGGGGAGGACGCAGAGCCCTGCACTGAGGAAGGGAGGGGGACACACAAAGGTTCGCAGGGAGGCATTGGGGGCTCATAGTTCAAGAAGCCGATATGCCTCCCAAGCCAGTGCCCTGTGTAGCCTGGTGAGTGGTGCTGCCATCCACTGATGGGAGCAGGGTGGGGGTGCGTGACCCATTCCTCTAGTCTGGGACACAGGGAGCTTGCCCTATGACCTAGAGGGGGAGCTGTCCAGGAGGTGTTCACACTTGTAGGTCCGGGGCTCCGGAGGTGAAATCCTGAGCACCTGGGAATATGCAGAAGGAGAAGAGCAGAGAGCTGAAGATAGAGCTGATGCCAAAGGGGCGTCTGGACCAGGAGGAGCCAGGTGGGAGGGGGAGGAGTGGCAATAGTGTGGCAGGGAAATCAGACCTACGGTGGGACTGGGAGCCAAAGGAAGAGAAGGCTTCCGACAGGGGTCAGCACCCACAGTACTTAGGACCTGGAGGCCCCCGGGAGCAATAACAGGGGAACGGCAAACTCACAGAAGGAGCCGTGTTGGGCTCGGGAGTCTACAGTGGGTGGGGCATGGGGAAGGGGAAAAGCCTTGCTAAGACAGGGAGAAAGGCCAGCAGCTACAAGGCAATGCAGGGTCAGGAGACGTCATTAGGAGAAGAGTAACTGGGAATGCTCAGAAATGGAGAGGATTTGCTCGTAGAGAGAGGATGACAGATATGGGTGTGCCCTGGTCACTGGGCAGCTCGGTCTCTCCTACTCTCCCTCGGGCCACCCCACTCCTGAGTGTTTTGGGTCCCGGGATAACACCTGTGATGATGTTATGACCTATGGGACTTCCAGGGAGAAAGCGAGTGCCCCTTGTTTCTAGGAGGGGTAGCTGAGTTATACTGCGAGACAGCATCCTGCTGCTGCTGGTGCTTTCTGGAAGCACGAGTATGCGAAGATGGGGGAGAGTCTGGAGGTGAAGCCGCCAGTGGGGTGTTCGGCAGCAGAGCCTGCAGACTGGCTCATCCAAAACGGACTCTGACTTCCTGGCTGCAGATCTCCGGTACCTCCTGTGCCACCAGCGCTAAAAGCTGAATTTCCCAGGCTTCCCCCAAAAGGAAGATCCCAGGTATAACATCAGTTCTGCCAATCAGAGGCACTTACATGTCTGAGTTAACCACGGGCAGAGAGAGGCAGAGCCCAAGGCAGCGGCGCTGCTGGTTAAGGCTCCCAAGCCGGCAGCTTGGTGATCTGGCAGGAGCGCCCGTGGCAGGAGCGCCCGTGGCAGGAGCCCAGCTCTGCTAGACCGAGACTGCTAAGTGCTGCTCTGAGGTCTTCCTAGAAACCCAACCTGGAGTCTAGTTCTTCAACTCCCCCCATGATATTCTAAGTCCCATAATATCCTCAAATGCATACCCTTCTGCTTCAACTACCTGCAGTAGATCCTGTTCTACACAACCCAGCCGTGATGGACAGAGCATCCAAATTCACGACAAGGCATGACGGCAGAGGTCAGCAGCCAAACACGGCCCGCCACCTGTTTTTGCAAATCAAGTTTTATTGGGAGAAAGCCATGCACATTCACTGATGTATTGTCTATGGCTTTTTTTTTTTTTAAGATCTTATTTATTTGTCAGAGAGCAAGCGAGCGAGCACACGAGCAGGGGGAGCAGCAGGCAGAGGGAGAACCAGACTCTCTGCTGAGCAGAGAGCCCGATGTGGGACTGGATCCCAGATTCCTGGCATCATGACCTGAAGTAAAGGCAGATGCTTAACCGACTGAGCCACCATGTGTCCTTCTATGGCTGTTTTTGTAAATAAAGTTTTATTGGAAGAAAACAATGCACATTCACTCATGTGCTGTCTATGGCTAATTTCACACTAGAAAGGCAGAGCCAAGTAGTTCCAGGGGAAACCATATGGCCCATAAGAGCCCACGATATTTACTCTTTGGCTCTTTCCAGAAAGTTTGCTGAACTACAGCAATTCCCAGAACTACATAAAGCATGGGACAGCTGAGCTCCATGAGGCTGCCAGGATGCCAAAGAAAAGACCTATGCCAGCCAGAGGAGGAACACGTGGACTCTTCTTTGACTTCTTTACACTGGAAATCTTTTTAAGTCCCACTCGGGTATTCAATAACTTCAGGAATACGATAAGTAGAATCAGAAGCCACTCGATCTTATACTGTAATAACATTATTGACGACTGGCCGTCATGTATTCATTTTCTTCTTTTGGGGGTTGCGCAGAATCCGTAAGGATGGCAAAAGCCGACATCAGTAAAAGGGTTAACTGTCATGTATTCCCCATTGATATTTATTCATGGTCAAAGGGAACCGGTGCCTGCATTTTTCATTTTGGGTACCAGGCTTGTAAGAGAAAGGTGTTATAGGAGCCTAGCCCCCTAGTACTGTGGCGTCATGCGCTGATCACAACTACAGTTAATGACGTGTACGTGTATCTGCTTAGTTTCTCATTTTTTCCCCCTAGAATGTAAACCCTACCACAACAACACCCAGATCTGTCCTGTTCTCCGCTGTAACTCCAGGGTCTAGGGCACAGCCAGCATTCAAGAACACCCTCCGAAAGGAGACAGCATTCCAGATATAAGATTAACGCAGCCTTCTAGGTCTCGAGGGAGAGCTAAACACAGACCGCTTTACCATCATCTTCACTATCACATAAATTACTAACTCAAGCAGAAGAGGAACTAGCTAGCCCATCCAAACGTACCTTGTTTTAAATGAGCCATGATGTTGCATTAAAAAAAAAAATGATGTGAATATAAATAAGGTACATTCAAGATACTTCCGCTTCCACTCCTATGGAATTTGGATGCTCTCCCATGCATTCACCTCTGAGCTGTTCCCAAAGTCCCATCCATCTATTCCACCTCCAAAATACATCTCAAGTCTTCCCACGGTCCTTCTGCACCCCGCTTTGGCTCTGGATCAACACATTTCCACGATCCTGCTTCCCTCTTGGTCTGGTACACGCTCTTCCAGCCAGCCTGCTCCTTTGCCCGCCTGGCTGCCACAATGATCTTCACGAAGAACACCCGTCAATGACATTACTCCCCTTTACAATTCTGCAAGGGCTTCCTACTGCTCTTAGACTTAAAAACAATTTTTTTTTTTAAGATTTTATTTATTTATTTGTCAGAGAGAGAGAGGGAGAGAGAGCAAGCACAGGCAGACAGAATGGCAGGCAGAGGCAGAGGGAGAAGCAGGCTCCCTGACGAGCAAGGAGCCCGATGTGGGACTCGATCCCAGGACGCTGGGATCATGACCTGAGCCGAAGGCAGCTGCTTAACCAACTGAGCCACCCAGGCGTCCCTAAAAACAATTTTTTAAAATTATGCAAGTGTCAGATGTACAGAATTATAATTCAATATCTATATGCACTACAAAGTGACCAGCACCTGAAAGCCTAGTTATCTCCCACAGAATTTCTTAAGAAGGCAAACGGCAAGACACTGCTTGATCAGGCTCCTTCCTCCAGCCTCCTCTCATGTCTCTCTCCCCATGTTCCCCCAGTTCCCTACACATGGTCTCTTTTTTCAGTTCCTCAGGTTAGCTCAGCTTTGTCCTCTCACAGGATCTCTGGGAACGTGTCATTGCAATTCTGACGTCTGAGGCAGAGGACTGTATTTTCTTATTATTAGAGAATGTGGACACAGTATCAGAGGCTAGTTGAAGTTCTACTGGAGGTAAACAATCGAAATGTCCACATACTGGTGAAAGACAAGCATAATTAGAAAAAAGTCAGGGCTCCCTCTCCCACAGCCCCTCCCCTTGCTTGTGCACGCTCTCTCTAAATAAATAAAATCTTTTAAAAAAAAGTTTGCTGGAAATAATTTTAAGGACCTGAGAAAAGGTTTCTATAAGTGAACAAAAGTAGCCTATACAGTCTGATCTCATCTATAGTATGATATCAGCTTTGTGAAACATGCTGTAGAGAAAACAGATGGGAAAAAAGTACACCAAAAAGATATCATTGGTTATCTGTGTGTGGTAGATGTGTGAATATACATATATCTATATGCATCTCTCTATATATCTTCTTTTTCTACAATGATAATGCAAACAGTGGGGGGGAGGTTTTTTAGTAAGTTAAAAAAAAATGGGGGCACCTGGGTGGCTCAGTGGGTTAAGCCTCTGCCTTCAGCTCAAGTCATAATCTCAGGGTCCTGGGATCGAGCATCCACATAGGGCTCTCTGCTCAGCAGGGAGCCTGCTTCCCCCTCTCTCTCTGCCTGCCTCTCTGCCTACCTGTGATCTCTGTGTGTCAAATAAATAAATAAAATCTTCAAAAAAAATGGTTTTCAAGGTTTTTA